CTCGAAACCGTGACGATGCATATTGGAATCTCGAAATTTATTCTAGACGAGTCTTCTCTATCAAGCGAATACTCCGTCGGGGAAGCATTAGTCCCATAGAGCTGCTAAAAGACCATTAGCTCGCGTCCATCTCCCGATGTACTGCAGCTCGATCCGCGATGTTGCTTATCTCAGGGCGGCACGGACGCGGACCGTCCAGCCCGGGGGATATTTTTGCCGGTGGCCTATCCGGGCCGTTATCTTTCGCGCCGGTACGTACCGATAATGGTGGCAGTCATTCGCGGATGATACGCCGAGATAGCCCGGGCGATAGGCGAGGACGGAAAATGCGGCGGCGGCGGTCGAAATCCGGCTAATGGTTTCACTGAATCAAACCGGGCGGCGGGCGTTTAACGGGGCAAACAGACAGAAAATGGAGCGCGACCGCATATAAAGAGTCGATGATAACGAAATGATATATGGCGACCGCGCTCCCGCTCGCTCGCGCGAACGTATTTACGGGGAAGCGAGAGCCAAGCCGAACCCCGGACGCTGCCTTGCCCTGCCCGCGCTCCGGCCCGGAGGCCCCCTTCGCCTCGGCCTCGCGATACACCCTCTATATAATGCAACTTCCACCCCCTCCCCTCCTCCCGGCTGGTGGTGATTGATCGGCGTGGAGATACCGGGCGATATTCACCGCGGGATTAAGTGAATGCGCGGCCACTTAATAACCCTTATATTATATAGCCCTCTCTCGGATCGAATAAACGTGCGCGCTCTCGCTGCGTTTGCCCGGGTGTCGTTAGGCGTCGTGGAATAACCGTTACGCTGGGAACGGCGTTCCCGATGGTCTCGAGATTAGAGAGATTCGAGGGTCGCTTTGAAGCGCGCCAACCTTTTGAAATAAAATGACGCGAGATAGATCTCGCATTGTAACCACCTCAATTAGCCCCGACACTGACTCATGAGAATCTTTAATAAGGCTAATGCGACGACCGAGGCGGAAGTTACGTCCCGCGAGAGAGGGGGATTCACGGAGAAGCTTAAGAATGTATGTTTTCGCTGTCGCGCTGTGCTTACCGAAGCGTTGCTTAATTATCTTACCCAAGTAATGGCGGGATAATTCAATAGCGCCGTCTGATAATTATCGATTCCATTAGCTAAATGCGCTATAAAAATCGTTCCTTCTGGCTTCAATCTGCGGCGGGGGCGCGAGACGAACATGCTAATTGAACATGAACTTCTCGCGGTAATGGCGTATGCAGGTAATAACACTGGCGTTAATGTGTCCGACGAAAAAGTTCGCACTTTTTCATTTTTTCCGTCGGAGGATAAGAAATTAAGTGCGGCCTTTAACGAGATATCTATAATTACATTTCTTAGGCCTCTCGAGAAACCTTTTTTTTTCTAAAGTATGTCGATAGCATTTGTGTGAGAAAGTATTAACGTACAAAAGTGCATTCTTCGAGTTGCGTTGAAGAATTTATTCAATTTACAATAAAAAAATTTCATCTCGTGACTCGAAACTAAATCTGAATCGGGTGTGTTAAATATATTTTATCTCGTAACTACAAACACCTCTATAAGATGTTCGTGAAAGTATTGAACGTAAGTAGCGCGGCCCTCGACAGACTCCATTTACTTTAGAGCCACGGCTCCTGCGCGGGCAAAGGACTCGGGGAATCTTTTATTTCCCGGGAATCGGAATCGCCGGCGGCGAGCGGTAGCGGAACGGGAACGATTGCTTTAATATTCAACGTCCGTAATAGCCGGACATGAGGTTTAGGATTCGTTCAATTATTCAAATCACCGCCTCGTTAGGTCGGTCTAAATCGAGATCTCGGTTATGTCCGGAGGTTGCCTGGGAGGAAATCTAAATTTGCTCGTCGTGCATTTAAATGTTGCATCGGCTACATACGAAAGCATAATTTATGTATGTACCAACGAGGCGCGGCCGCCGATACCTAATCGATAGCGAACGCCACATTCGTAATCGATCGAAATAATATTAAGGACGCAACGCGGATAGTTCTCTCTCTCTCTCTCTCTCTCTCTCTCTCTCTCTCTCTTTGCCTTCTCCCCCGTCAAGAGTATCGTTTTACCGAGGAGAAATTTTTAAGGAACTAAGAGAGAGTCCGGGAGATTCGTTCGCGCCGGCGGCGCAAAGCTTTCCTAGAGACTTTAACGCTCGTTGCCGAGCTTTAAATAATGCATGAGCAACCAGTCAAAAAATAAGCGGCCAAGAGAGCCGGAAGGGAGTTCTTTCCTTTCTCCCTTCCGTCGGTATGCCGGAAATGAGAACGTAGACAAGCAGACGCCATTCATTTCTGATTCAGGCGGAGCGCCCGCCGAGATACGAGGCCAGCTCGAATCGGGCATGAAATCCCGAATATAATGTCGTAGACAGGATTCTCGATTTACGCTCCTTTCAAAGAGCGTTAAGATGATTGTTCGAGCATCTCCGGCCAGGTCGAGCCGGGCTTTAATTAGGTACAACAAAATTAACCATCGCCGTACCTACGTCGCTACGTTGGGGCGTCGGGGGACACTCGGCGACGAGTCGGCAGGGTCTTGGTCATTTTCACGTAGGATTGCCCATTAGTGCTTAATCGATGCTTGATTAAAAATTACAGATTAAAGCTGCCCCGCGGGAGTTTTCGACCCGGCTCGACTGACCAAACCGTAACTGAGTTTCGCACACGTCCTCGGGCTATGTTGGCTAAATTCCTCGAGCAGATAATCACGGGGGCGATATGTACTTCTATATTCTTCAAGTATGAGGAAGTGAGGCGAGCCAGCGAGCTTCTGATCTCGATACGTTAACAATTTATTTTTATGCGTCCAAGCCACGTTGATCACAAAATTATCGTTACATTAATTATCTTGTTAAAATTTATAGTAAGAAAATTAAGCCCTGCACGTACGATTAGCGAGGACGGTTGAAATCTCGGGACATTTCCGAGTAAAATTGCCCCGACAAATTTTTTAATTTTCAAGAGTCCGCAAGGTATTCACATCGCGCGATACCGTGGATTAAAATCCGTGTAGGCAGCCGGTAGTTAGATTCTATACGTGAAACATTTGTAGAGACGGGAAAAATTTAGATTATTAAAGACGGCGCTTTTCCCCCCCCCCTGAAACTCTCGCGTGACGTGCACGTCAAGAGATGCATCTGGCCGGATTACGTTGTTCATTTTCTCACACGCGCGCCCATACGATTAATTGTCGGCGAAACTCCGAACCGTGGGCGCGTAGCCGGCGAGTATTTAGCATAAAATGTAAAATAAGCCGCGGCTCGGGCATAAATTGTATTCCCATTAGGAGGGTAGCGGGGACGCGGGTCGGGTGCATTTGAATACGAGCGGATTAAAAATTAAATATTACCGCGGAAAGGGCCGGCGATTAGAGCGCGCGCGGCAGGAATGAAAAACCGTCCGTACTCGAAGGGCGGTGGAAAGGCAAAGGGAGGACGCTGGAACACCGAAAGTTGCGCAAAATAAAGCGGACGGCGCCGTGACTCTTTGCAAAAAAAAACGAGAGGGGGGAGAGAGAGCGAGAGAAAAATTAAACGCTCGTTTAATAATTCGCAGCGGAGGCAACGAGGCGTTGTCCCGATTCGACGGCGAATTTTTTGGCAGCTCGTCGACGCTTATTCTCGCAACGGGAGCGACGGGACCGCGTCTTTACGCGTGGATATCAGCGGCGTGTACAAACGATACGGTTTGCCCCTCCCAAGATCTAGCGGGAAGGCTAATTTTTCTACGGTAGCATAAATCTCTTTTAGAATCATCCGAATGCGAGTCCCTCTCTTCCCTTCCTCTTTCGAAACTCGGCTAATAAATCCGCGAACGCAGATAATCGCAGCCGCAAATCGCCATACGCTTTCTCGTGGCCGTGGTATCGCCGCAACTGCCGAGCCATAACCATTTTTCACAATTTCTGACGCGGTGGCGGCGGCGGCGGCAATGCGAGCCTGGCACAAGTGGCCGTATCTGCCGAGCTCTCTTTCTTCCGCGGGACATTAAGGCCCGGAGCGGCGCGAGCGAAACGGTTAACTAAGACATCAGTCATAATACGCGAGACAACTGGATGCTGAGGTAGACGCGGGGAGGGGGAGGGAGGGCGTAAAGGGTCCTCGTAACTTCTCGTTTGCCCGGCTTTTGTTTGCGACGGCCCCGCTAGTCTCGCGGGCGCGCGAGACGTATCTCTCCAGCGCCAGAAACTACCTTTACGTCTCGACGGGATCCGTACATCAAAGTTTATAGGATAAGAACGAGGCTGCCGAAACGAGCCGGGAGATTGCGGCCGTTAAACGTGGCCAACTTGAGCAGCGGGTGAACGTGACTCGCGACTGCATCGAGCGACGCGTTGGCTCCACGGACTTCTATGTACCACGAGACTGCTACGCTCGAGCTGAAAAGTGAAGCAAGAATTCCGTCATGCCTTGTTAGGTAGATAAAGTAGTATGCGTGCACTGGCCGACCACTTTATTACTTACTTTTCAGCTCGAAGGCAGCAGTCTAACAGAAGTCTGTGGTTGGATCACGGAGCGATCGTCAAATCAAGTAAAATAAAGTATTATATCATTTTTTTAAAAGAAATTCCTTGCATTTTATGTGAAACATGGGAAAGGGGATAGTTAAGTTTGTTAACAAAAAGATATTATTTCGGTAACATCGAACAGGAAATTGTCGATACGCAAAACGTTGCACACGTCATTATCTCAGAGAATAAATCTAGATAAGAGGAAAGTGTTATCTGCATGTTCAGAATTAATATATGGATTGAAATAAATATTTGACGTTCCTACAAACAGTGCGAACAAGTGTCCATAGGCAAAAGGCCCCATTTTTTTCGAATTCGATTTTGGTCACAAAGATCATCTTGACAAGGCCAAAATCGACTTGCTTTACATCTTTTTCTAGTTTTGCGAATTGGAAAAAGATGAAAAGTAATTTAAACCGAGATTAAAGTTAATCTGCATTGGTAGAAACGGGCATTAAAAATTAAGTTAAACCAACCTGTGTGTTCAAACGACAGTTCTTCGTGCCCTTAGGTACTCTGGACTTCAGGGTTACTCTACATTCTACGTGTTTCTTCAGACAAGAACAAGCTGTAACAAGACCGAGAATACAGTTTACACGTCACATTGTCCGTTGGGTGTACTTGAAATTCGAATCGGAGGCTCGTCCATCCGACTTTCTAGCGCGAGCGTTTACCGTCGTGTAAGATAGACAAATGCGTTCTGGTCAGTTGGAAAAGCCCAGGCACGGCACGGAACGGTGCGGGACGGGACGGGGAGATTTACAAGTTTAGTTAGCGGCGATCACACCCCTGGGACTTGCAGGCTGATGGGACTCTATACGGCTATCGGTATGAAGTTCCGGGCGGAGCTCTTGGTGGCTCTCGGAGTTACTCCCGTGGCAACTCTTTCCGAGTACGGTCGTACGTGGCGATCGTGTTGTAGGGATCGATTTTCCTGACTCCGAAACGAGCCGGTCGCCCAGATATTAGCGTCGTCGAGAACAAGACGCCACGTCCTCGCAAACGCCACGACGTCCCGCGATCGATTCGCACGACCGTAGAAATATCTCGGGGGCGAATCGTCGGAGCGGATTCGCACGAGACGGGAAACGGTGGGACCGGCCGACGTCCGTCGCCAACAAATCTCTCCTACCTCCTAACCGTTACGGATAGCCGGCCATTAGAGTGTCATTTTTTCCCACATTTATGAATGACCGGCCGCGGATAAGCCCCTGCGGGATATATCGGCGTCCCGCGCCGCCGGCGCATTTGTTTGAATTACTTTATATCCCGCGATTTTTTATTATCAGTATCTCCTTCGGCCATACGTGCCATGTGCTCCTCCGCGGCGAGCGCAGCCGCGCGTGCGGCGGGGAGAAATATACCGCGTTCCCGTCTTATCTCGTCTCGCGAAAGAAATCGCTCGTGCGTATCGGTTACCGCGATTTGCGCCCCTCAACTTCGACCGCCATCCGATTTCCGCGAAGGAGACCGAGACGGCACAGGGAGATGTTCCTCAAACACACATTTATCTCTTATCACGGCTCGCAGCATTGACGGAACTGCGGACTACATTTCATAGAGAGCATCGCGAGGAACGTGCGAGTTTAAGGGGATGCCGGAGTGATTCTGCACCGTTTGCACTTTCCCCAACTAGAATTGTCGATTCGTGACATTTGTGTGATATACAAATTATGTGGCTTTCATGTACAGGCCGACAGTGTTCCATCATTCGGAGTCTAACAAAAGATCTATTTACTCGAATAATTTGTTCGAGTGAATAGATTTTTTACAATGAGTGGAATACTATCGGCCTGTAAACAAAAGTGTTGCGTTTTATAACGTCTTAAAATTCTCCCTTTTTTGGGCCAATGCATTTAAGCACTTTACCCTGGGACGGAGATTAAATGTGTGAAAATTTTATGAAGTATCGGAGGGAGGGAGGATAGAATAATTGATATAGGATAATCGATTGAGCAAAGGGTGCGAAAAGTGCAGAATCACTCCAGCATCTTTTGAATGGAATTGGTGATGTTGGACAGGAAAGAATTTAGTCGTGTCAATCGGCATCGTCCTGGGCAGCGCCGCGCGCCACCGCAGAGTACGGCGTCAGTCTCGTCCCGGCGATGGTCCTGAGCGTCCCGTTTGGCGGTCCAAAACCGCGCCGCGTAATGGGAAAATTTGCGTAAACGACGGGGTCATTAAGCGCCCCTCTTGCGCGCGAATGTGCGTGGCGGTCGCCAATGCGGAGACGGGGCTATAACTCGCGGTAATACCAACCTAACCGTGTACCCATGATTATAACGCTGCCAATTAGTCAAGCCGGCTTAGGATGGCAACTCTGCCCCGGGACAAACGTCTATGTATATACGTACATATGTATATATGCTCGCCGCGCCGCATCCGCCGGAGAGAATCCGAAAGCGGTTTCGCTTGTAAGAATAACCGACTTGGAGATCTGGCTCTGCGTCGCTGACAAAGCCGCGTTTTTCATTTCCAGCTTTGGCCAAAAACTCAACAGCGTCTCCTTACTAACCTTTTGAAGCATATACATTGTCCTATTCAATCATTTTTTGTGAAACTTTGTATACAAGGGTTTTTGGGGTCGCTAATTACGAATCCGGTATTTTCATAATTCAAAATGGCGGAATTCAAGACTTAAAAGAATAACATCGTTCAACTATAATTCAACTATACTAAGAAACATTATTTAGATATTATTAGAACCCATGGAATCTAAATTGCAGTCGAAGATTCTTATAGAATATAAAAATTAGCGCTAGGGTTAATATGACAACTGTTGGGAAATGTTGCGCTACTTGTTAATTTCCTTTCTTTCTTTATCCGACATCTTTCAATTGGAAAAACGAGACGAGTGTTGAACTTTTGAGGAAGCGAGCTACTTCAGGCTAATGAAAGGTTTGCTAATTAAAGGAAACGCGGCGAATTTAGGACGTTTTATCCGCATTCTCTCTGTAACAAAAGGATTGAGAGCCGAGGTTTATGGCGAGCGGTATTATTCCGCGGTTATATCGGTGTTCCGCGATACGTCGTCGCGTGTCGCGACGCGGTGTGCTGGGGGAGCAGCAGCGGGGCAAGTTTAGTAATTATTTAGCTAAATTGCGGAACACTTGGTACCGGCGCGGCGCAGCGCGGCATGTGTTTGCAACCGGCGAAAAATCTCTGAATTAATGCTCCGCCATTAATTACGTTTATGAGTCCAAATTGTCTCGGTGTAACCCGGAATTTATGCAAATGTAGTTTGCGAATTCGACGATCACGTCGCGCGCGCTCCGCCAGAAAGCGCGCCGCGTGCGCGCGTTCTGGCCTAGGGTGTATCTGTAATTTGCTACATAACGCGAGGTACGTACGTGACGCAGCTGCAAACGTACCCAAGTACGACGGTTTCGCGCGGAGTTTTATCGCTCCGCGAAAGTGAGATCTCTTCGAAAAATGACCTAGCGCGCGGGTAATTCGATTGACCTAGGTCGGGGGCGATAGGATGAAAACGGACATCAAAATACTCGTTTCGCATATTAAATGTTTACTTCATTGAACGTCGCTTTTACTTAATTAATAATTAATAAAATAAAATTTGATGTCTCACTTGTCCCTCGGCGAAGGATCCCTTCGCGAGCCGCCGAGCTGACACATCGGCGGGTTTTCAGCGCGATGTGAAATTTCGCAGAAATACCCGCTTCTAAAGCCGCTTGTTTTACGCCGCCGCCTGTCCGAAGGCAGCGTTGCGATAAAAATTATTCAGCGCTCACTCGCGCCCGATCTCACCCGCCGAGCGATAGCCGGGGAATCGGAGAAATCAGATTTCCGATCCGATCAATCCCGACGCGGATTCGACTGGCCGGTTAATTTTACTTTGTACCGCTATACGAGCGTTTTTTTTTCTTACCGTGCGCCGGCTGACAGATATGCGAACTGACGTATTCTGCACGGCGGAGCGGAACGGCACGGAGCGGCGCGGCGCGGCGCGGCGCCAGGAGTAACGTTTTACGCGCCCTTAACGAATCCGCAAATTGAAAATCTCCGGAGCGTCCGCGCTGATTTCCAAGAGAGGCAGGCGGTCGGACACGCGGTCGGCGCCGCGTTTATTTTTCCGCTCGTACTCTCCGCCTACCCGCTCCCAGAACCCGCCGGCCCTCCGCCCCGAGGCCGCCGGGTGCGTACGCTCTCTTTCTCTCTCGGTCTCTTTCGCTCTTTCTCTCCGACGCGCGGTATCAGCTGTTTAATTAATTTCGCCTTGTCCCGCGCAAATGAAACGGAGAAACATAATATGGGATCTGACGCGCGGGATTTTAAAAAGTGTCAGGGCCGGCACTCGGGGAGGGTGCGCGGTTGTACATACGTCGCTCGTTTTTTCGCGACTCCGAGACACGGTTCCTTGTCGGCCCTTCGAAGGAAAAGCGAAGGCTGACGTTTTTCCGGCCTGGGAATTTAACGCGGCGTATTATATCCGAATAATCGTTCGGGCCGCGCACTCCCGGAGGGACGGCGTGAAAATTTATGTCCGCGATCTCGGGGCTCGCGGATTTTGGAGATTAAATTGAATTAACGGGGCGCGTGTAAAATACGCGTGACGTTTGTATTAGAAGTGCTTTAATTTCGTCATGCGATATCGAAAATTTGTCCGCCTTTCGATCTGGCGTTTCGTTAATCGAGTACGGGCGGGGGCGACAGCGGGGCGTTTTCACGGCTGTCCATCAACGCGGCCGCTATTAGGGTAGCTCTTGTAAAGTATGGATTCGGACCAGTCGTATAGATGCCGCGGGACAGGCACCTATCGCGCGTTTCGAGGACGCCGCGGGCCACGCTCGATACCCGGCTTTATTAGTTCGCGGTAATAAATCAGGAGACAGATCAATTTTGCAGCGCCCCCTGATTTCCGTCCTGGGGACATCAGATACAAAATTTGCAATCCGCCCGGTGCAAACTGCGCCGACGTTCCTTCCGGTTTTCAGCTCTGTTATCCAATATCCACGCGACCGATATTTCATAAATACCCGACGATATTACCCGGGTCGAAATTTTGGTACCATTTTGACACTGTTAAGGATAATTTGCGCCTACTTAGCTGATCTATACACCTACATAGACCAGCAATAACCTACTTTAATGACATATTTTTTTACTCCTCCCTTGAATCTTTAATTCTAAAAATTTACTTTCTCCTACTTAAAAGGACCTACTTTAATGCTAAATTGGCAAAAGTAGAAATTTCCGACACTATCAGTTTTAAAGTAGGAGTAAATTTTGCACTTGCAGTTCGACCTCTTTTACTGACTTAGATCCTACTATACAATAGAATCAAAGGTTCAACATAGGGCCATCATTTCGACTCGGGTAAGCATTGCGTCCGCGCGCTATTGGGATTTTTCGAGAGGACCTGACAAAAAAAAGAGCGGCTCTTTCTCCCCGAGTTAAAATGATTTTCTATTTAGTAGGGCGATATTAAATTTCTCCCTCCGTACAACTGTCCGCTGTATTAAGCGCAGGTGTCGGCGCGATATTTACCTCGGATTTCCCTCGCGATTTCGAGATCGCGCGCCGCGCGGCCCCTCTCCGCGGTAGTTTTCA